CAATTTAAAATTTTGACCGGCTGTAACTTTTGAACGAGTGAACCGATTTTAATTTTATTTGCGTCATTTTTCTTGTCTTTTTAAGTTCTTTTTAACCATGTCTAAAAAAATGGGGGTTGCTATTTGAATTTTGAAAGTTGCCCCCCCTTGGGGCCCCCCAGGGGGGTTCACCAAGAAAAACCCCCTATCGAAAAATTTCCCCCTCTGGATGATGAAGAATGCCACAAACCGCGACCTTCTATCTTTTTTTGTTCAAAAATTATACCCACTTTTCAGTTACTTTATGGACACCCGGTATTTCCAGCTATCAGGAAAGCTCAAGAAAATCTAATTCGGACGCATTGTGGGCTAGTTATGACCAAAATCCGGTTTTTACTCTAACAGACCTCGTATATCCGTTTTGGGCTGCCTGTGTTTGTCTTTGTTCTGGCCCATCCGATGCATTGATTTCAAAATTATACCTATCCTAAAACGAAAACAGCAAAAGTGAAAAGCAAATCACGGGGGTAAAACTGTTTCAAAATATCAACATCCTTCTTCGCTTTTAGCGGCTCTGGTGCTTGCACTAGAGCTGCTATTCCGGACGGTCCCAGCTGGGGAGTATCATTGGACCATGTTACATTGGAGAGACCGCGCGTTGGTGAATGGGAATCGGCGCCATTTTCTGCTGTTTAGGGGGGACTGATTTTATTTTAATTGATATCTTTTTCCTGTGAGCGAATGCTATGTTGTGTAGTGTATTTTTGGAATCATAATGATACTGTCAATAATTCAAAACGGGTCTGTGCTTTAATCTCGCACTGGAAAAAATGTACTTTACGTTTAAAATTTGAAAATTCAAATCTATAAGTTTTCCCGCTTTTTTCGAAGAATGCCGTGGTTGGAGCTTCCTAGTCATACTACTTGACATCAGCTGATAGCAAACAAAGGTTACCAAGGAAACCGTAAACGCGTAACAACTACCGTCGCCAGAGCCGCTTTCCGACGCGAATGCGTTGGAGCTTCCTGCTTGTTTTACATTACATAGTTACTTACACATCTTCTCTCTCGTGATTCTCAGGGGAAACTGAACTAATTGAAAAAGCTCAAGCAATTGCTGAGAAAAATGATGTTTGGAGAAGTTTCATTGGCATGGGTTATTACAACTGCTTTACGCCTCACACAATTTTACGGAATGTATTCGAGAATCCAGGATGGTAAGTGGTCACGACTTTGCTTACAAATCCGTTTACCACTAAAGTTACAATACCGTGGTTAGGTATATGGAAATAAGTAGGTACCTTGCTAGAAACGATGAGAAGGTCGTTTTACTCAACGTACACACACACACACACACACACACTCACACACACACACACACACACACATATATATATATGTGTGTGTGTGGTTGTCATAATCAATAATTAAACAAAAATCACGAGTACTTTCCAACCTTTTTATTACATTTTGCAATCTTCACACTACATTTTAAACACCGACCGTTATGTATTTTAAATAACCAAAATGCTATAAATTCTAGAACTGAGTTTGCTCACTTTGAGGAATATTTTTCTAATCTCTGAAAACTTTCATTCTGTATCAGTACCTACTACCTCTCTGCGGCGGGGGCTTATTGTTATTGTTTGTGTTGATGTTTATCATGTCTCCTGTTATCGTTAAACTGGTCTCTTGCTGCGACTGGACTGGGTTTCTGTGTTTTTTCCTCGTTCAGTTATGAATAAACTTCGTCTGCCCTGAAGATGGAGAAAATTGTCTCCGAAACGTCGGTGTTTAAAATGTAGTGTGAAGATTGCAAAATGTAATAAAAAGGTTGGAAAGTACTCGTGATTTTTGTTTAATTATATACAGGGTGTTTCAGACCACCCGTACCAGGCCTTTTTCTTGGTTGGTTTAGGTCGTACGAAGTCGGAGACCGCGGAGATGAATAGGGAATTGACCCCAAGGAATCCGAATTTCGTGGTCCGGACACCCCCCCACTCCCCCTTGGGAGGTAAAGGGGGAGTCACGATGCTAAAAGTCACGGTTCCCGACCGAATTGCGGATAGATCGCATCAGAATTGAAAAGCACGGAAAATTTCACGTGGAATTGACCCCTTAAAATCCAAAATCCAAATATATATATGGGCGGGTGAGGGTGAGTGTGTATGTATGTGTGTGTGTGTGATGTGAGTGGGTGTGTGTACATGTAGCAAGGTGGCGAAATCGTGCTGGGTCCACACGGGGGAAGAGTGTTCAGCTCAGGCAGTTTGCATTGGAATATTAAGTTGGAGTCACGTCGAGAGATCTATACCGGTTTGGACCTTTTTAGACCTTATCAGCAGATCACACTCGGCAGTGAACCCAACTTAACATGCCGCAAAATCCAAGACGGCATTAAAACGCCGTCATGGATATGACCCGAGGCATGACACAAAAGTGTGATCCTCGCGCCATCTACCGTCGCTGCTAAACAACTCTCATAACAAAACAAGGAAAACCCGAAAAAAAAAGTGTGATCCTCGCGCCATCTACCGTCGCTGCTAAACAACTCTCATAACAAAACAAGGAAAACCCGAAAAAATGATTATCAGGCTGGTTGGAGATGCGAACGCATCTAGACTCAACCGCCCGCTCCCGAACGGGAGAAAACACATATCCCCAACTGTGCTTATAAATGAAAAAAACAAAACACTAAGAAGTGGCCCGAACTGTATGTAACAAGGTTTTTTTGTTTTTTTTTTACTACTTCAAATACCACACAAGTGATAATCCTTGCGCTTCCAGTTAGAGCCCCTCCCCCCTCCGTCCCTACCATGTACCAGCCCAAGGCAAACGTTGTTTGAGACCAGCGAACTCGGGTCGCCTAGCCCGGAATCGAATCCGGGACCTCCTGATTGTAGAGCCAGCGCTACAACTACTACACCACAGGAGGCCGACAATTGGTGGAGAAATGGTGCTGGGTCCTCACTATTTCGCGGGGAAAACGAAGCCAAGAAGTTCCAAAAATTATAATTAGAGTCAAAACTAAATTGTTTTAAACTGTAATGCGTACCAGTATACGAAACTGAGGGGGGCGAGTGTTCAGCTCAGGCAGTTTGCATTGGAATATTAAGTTGGAGCCACGCCGAGAGATCTATACTGGTTTGGGCCTTTTTAGACCTCATCAGCAGATCAGCATGCCGGCCATGCTGGCCACCTGTGGTGTAGTGGTTGTAGCGCTGGTCCTATGACCAAGAGATCCCGGGTTCGATTCCCGGCCAGGTGATCTGAGTTTAAGCGTGGGATTAGCCGATAGGCTACTTGAAATTGGTAAAAAAAAAAGAAAAAAAAAAAGCAGTTGGTGTGACCGAGTGTGATCTGCTGATGAGGTTTAAAAAGGCCCGAACCGGTGTAGATCTCTCGGCGTGACTCCACCTTAATATTCCAATGCAAACTGCCTGAGCTGAACACTCTCCCCTCTCAGTTTCGTACTGATACGCATTAGAGTTCACAAAAATTTAATTTTGACTCTAATAAAGTATAGAAGTTTTTTTCAAAATTTGCTAATTTTAGTTTTGCGAGGATAGCAATGACATGTTAAATAAGAATGACAAACCTAATTGAGTTAGGTACCTAATTGAGTTCAGCAGGTCATGACGACTGGCTCTGATGTATCAACAAGCTGCTTTGAGTGTAATAAATCAATTTTGACCCAACTACGTTTCAAATTTATGCAGGACCACTCAGTACACTCCTTATCAGCCGGAGGTTGCACAAGGCCGCCTAGAAAGCTTACTCAACTACCAAACTATGATCTGCGACCTCACTGGAATGGACTTGTCGAATGCGTCTCTCCTTGATGAAGGAACTGCAGCTGCTGAAGCGCTGACCGTTTGCCACCGGTTTGTATTAAGCCTGCAAGCATACATATGTGTAAAGGTTTTCTTTCGATTTCTAAAAAACAGTAAAAGCTGTTACTTTAAATTTTTAACATTTAATGTAAAAGTCACGCTTTCACTAGAACTCATATCATTCGGACGCGTTTCGGGGTTTTTGTACGCCCGAATAATAGAAGTCCTAGTAATAGCGTGACTTTTTTATTAAATTTTCAAAATTTTAAATACCAATAGGTTTCTAGAATTAGGTACCCATAGCCATGCCATCGATATCTTTTTGATTATAATTTTTCCCGTATTTCTAGTTTTCTTAATGCGTTCGATTGTTATCACTTAAGTTGGACGAAATCTAAACGTTTCTGGAACGTTCATAGGCCAAATAACTCGGATATTTGTTTCTTATTAAATCAGTTGTATCTCAACTTCTCTTAATTTTTACAGGGGTTTTTATTTTCAGAGAAAAATTGAAAAATCCTGTTTTTGAAGGTCTTTAAAGTCCATATGTCTCAAGCCATCAAACTTTTCTCGTTGTCAGACTTTCCTTTTATTTTTTTACAGTTTCGTATGGGGGAGGGAAACGATCCAATCAAAAACGGATGAGGGAGAGATACCCTCCCCCCTCATGTCTGTAATACTTCATAATTGCTATGCCATAATTTTTTACTATTTTTTCAGCGAATAAAAAATGTACCATAATTTAAGAGGATAAAACAGCCCTTAGAACTTCTAGAGATGGAGATGTAGGAAATCAATTGAAACACTTCAGAATGAGTACCTACTTAGTGTTGAGCTCTGTCGTCCTTTGGTTTCATTTAGTCTTATCCCTTCTCTCACCCTGAAGTCTCAGTTTTTTTAGTTTTTTTTTAAATGTCATGAAGTGTTTTCTTCTTCCCGTAGTACACGTTATCTTGAGTCAAGAAAATGTGGGGTGTCGGATGAAGAAAAGGCGTGTACTTGATGCGAAAAACCTCTGTTTTCCTGCTCCAAGACAACGTCTCTTCTTAGAAGATACTTAAAAGTATTAGTTTTCATAATATGAGGCGGCCAAGGGAGGTCTTGAATTTGGGAGACCTTTTTTCGGTGTGTACACGTAAAAAAGAAGAAAGAAAGAAAGAAAGAAAGAAGAAAAACCGGAACTGTGTTTCTAGAAATATGAATTATAAATCCAAGAGTCTGGTTAACTGAAAGACATCAATGCCAAGTCTGCATGATACCAATTTCCAAGGTTCGGCTCAACTTGCATTTTACCAAGTCAAATCACCCAGTGGGTAGAGGGCTCCCGTTGCAGTTCTATTATGCGCTCAGTAACAAACTTACCTATCTAATGACTTTGTTTTGTCAAGGCACCTTCAAATAAATGTATTTATCAACGAACGAAAGACCAACCCTACAGTTTTATTGGTGATAAAATATCTCTCTTTTACATTTGAATCGAATGAACTTGCGGGTAGTGCTCCTCGTAGGTACGTACATTTTACTTCCTAGATTTTTAGGTACCTAATTTTATGGGGAACTAGCCGTGATTAGCGAGCGAGCTGACATGCCTAGCCGAGGAGTGCCCCTGGACCCTAGTTCTTCGCTTCGCGATGAACTTGCGACTCGCTCCGCGAGCCGCCACCGCCCCACATACTTTTTAACATCGATGAGAAGACAACATCTTCGTCTTCATCTTCTTTTTCACCAAGTTTTACAGAAATTGATGTTCCAGGAGCCGGGACCGCATTAGATATATAGCGCGGCCGCCTCCTTGATTTTGAAATGTTGAAAATCTGACCAAAAACTGACCCGTTGAAAAAATTTCCCCTGATACCGAATTTCACGAAAATCGATCGAAGTGAAGCCAAGACATCATATGAGGCCACGACTGCCATCGTGGATTTTAAAATTTTTGAAATCGGAACAAAAGCTCAAGTTTCCCGTCGAAAAATACCTGTTCATGCCGAGTTTCACGAAAATCGATTGAAGAGGAGCCGAGATAGTATTTCAGGCCAGGGCCACCATCTTTGATTTTTGAATTTTGAAAGTCTGGCCAGAAATTCAAGTTTCCCGTCGAAAACTATTCTCTGATACCGAGTTTCACGAAAATCGATCGAACAGGAGCCGATTTAGTATTTTAGGCCACGGCCGCCATCTTGGATTTTGAAATTTTGAAAATCTGACCCAAAATCAGGGTATCCCGTCGTAAAGTACCCCCGGACACCGAGTTTCAGAAAAATCGATCGAACAGGAGCCGAATTAGCATTTTAGGCCAAGACCGCCATCTTGGATTTCGAAATTTTGAAGATCTGACCAAAAAGTCGAGTTGCCCGTCGAAAAGTCCCCCCGGATATCGAGTTTCATAAAAATCGATCGAACAGGGGCCGGATCAGCATTTTAGGCCACGGCCGCCATCTTGGATTTTGAAATTTTTAAAATCCGACCAAAAATTCGGGTTTCCCGTCGAAAGGTACCCCCGAATCATATTTTTAACAGAAATCCGTCGAAAAATGCCCCCTAAAACCTGAAATTTCGTCCTAAATGCTGCGACGTCACGCGACAGGATTGAACCTGTTCGGCGCGGTGCGCGTAAACAACCGCGTAACCCCAATGCATTACCTACTATAGGGAGAAACAACTTTTCGCTGTTGCGGGCGTCCTAGGCAGCGGATTGGAATCGGAATAATTTTGATCAACTCCTCACGACAATAGCTAAGCGTGAACCAAATTTAAAGGAAATCCCTTCGGCCAATTTTTCTCTGGTGGGGGGGGGCAGAGTGAGTGGTAACAGCAGCTTTATATACAGTAACTAGTCATGATTAGCTCGCTTTGCGAGCTGACACGTCTAGCCGGGGAGTGCCCCTGGACCCCACTTCTACGCTTCGCGACGAACTTGCGACTCGCTCCGCGAGCCGCCACCGCCCCGCACAGTTTTTAACATTGATGAGGAGACAACATCTATGTCTTAATCTTCTTTTTCACCAAGTTTTACAGAAATTGATTTTCTAGGAGTCCGGACCGCGTTTTCGTGCGGGGCCGCCATCTTGTATTTGGAAATGTTGAAAATCTGACCAAAAATGCGAGTTTTCCGTCGAAATACACCTCCTAATACCGAATTTCACAAAAATCGATGCATTGGAAGCCGAGATAACAATTTAGACCACGTTCGCCATTTTTTATTTTTAAATTTTGAAAATCGGACCTAAAATTCTAATTTCCCGTCGAAATACACCTCTAATACCGAATTTCACAAAAATCGATGGATCGGAAGCCAAGCTAGCAATTTAGACTACGTTCGTCATCTTGGATTTTTGAATTTTGAAAATCGGACCTTAAATTCTAATTTCCCGTCGAAATATACCCCCTAATACCGAATTTCACAAAAATCGATCGATATCAGGAAGCGATACAGCATTTTAGGCCACGGTCGCCATCTTGGATTTTGAAATTTTGAAAATCTTACCAAAAATTCGAGTTCCCCGTCGAAAAGTACCCTTGATCTCCGAGTTTCACAAAAATCGATCAAACAGGAGCCGACTTAGCATTTTAGGCCACGGCCGCCACCTTGGATTTGGAAATTTTGAAAATCTGACCGAAAATTCGAGTTTCTCGTCGAAAAATACCCCTGAATACCTACCGAGTTTCACGAAAATCGATAGAACAGGAGCCGACTTAGCATTTTAAGCCGCAGCCGCCATCTTGGATTTGGACATTTTGAAAATCTGACCAAAAATTCGAGTTTCTCGTCGAAAAATACCCCTAAATACCGAGTTTCACGAAAATCGATATAACATGAGCCGACTTAGCATTTTAGGCCACGGCCGCCATCTTGGATTTTGAGATTTTGAAAATCCGACCAAAAATTCGAGATCCCCCGAGAAAAATACCCCCGCTTACCAATTTCCACAAACATTCGTCGAAAAATACCTCCTAAAACCTTAAATTTCGTCTATAAGGCAGTGACGTCACGCAACAGGATTGAACCTGTTCGGCGCGATGCGCGTACACAACCGCGTATCTCCAATGTAATACTATAAGGCGCGAAATAACTTTTCGCTCTTGCAGGCATTCGAGGCAGCGGATTTGAATGGGAATAATTTTAATCAACTTCTCATTACAATAGCTAAGCGTGTACCAATTTTAAAGGAAATCGCTTCGGCCAATTTTTTTCTAGGGGGGGGGTAGTGAGTGGGAACAGCAGCTTTATATAGAGTAACTAGTCGTGATTAGCGCGCTTTGCGAGCTGACAAAATTTCAAATGGTAAGGGTATGTTTTGATTTCAGATTTGGATTCTACGCGAAAAATTACGTAGAATTGATACGGCGCAAGGCCTGTTCGTTCCAAATTACTGAAGAACCCCTTTTCCCCATAAGAAGCCGTGTATTTTTGGAGAAAATAAGGGGCAAAAAAAATTTGAGAAAACAGGCCACGCGCCATATCAATTCTCCGTAACTTTTTGCGTAGAATCCAAATCTGAAATCAAAACATACCCTTGCCATTTGAAATTTTCGACTTACGGCGCTCCAAAGCCCCAAAATTTTTGGGGGGTCGTGGCACCCAAAATTTTGGAGCAACAGGGGTCATGTGGCACATCAATATAAAGGTAGGTACTAGGGGGCCCTGCCCCCTGACCGCTACGCGGCCCAACCCCCGGGAGGGCGCCTCGCGCCCTCAGGCCCGCTTCGCGGGCCCTTTACGCATATGTATAGGCAAATGTATGTTCTTCCATTTTAATACACCATTTTGTGTTCGAGCTGCATCGATTTAAAAATTTTTGACGTAACACTCAGATTTGTAAATGATGAGGAATAGCTGGATGTACATAATCTCACAGTCCACTTACTGGAGAGATTTCCATTTATTATGTTATTTTTTAATACTTAATTTTAAAAAAAATCGAAGCCGGAAGAATGCAGGAAAAGAGTTAAACCTTATACCTTGGACCTTGAACCTTGAACCCTGAGCGATGCACCGTTCCTCAACTCTTCGAATGAGGAGCCCTTCACGAGCTTTTCCATTGTTTTATTGTTTATTCGAGTCACTCAGGTAGAATCCCACACCTCGACTTTTCTAGCGGAAACGACATATATCTCACGCTATTAACATTGGACTTAAGTGACATGAGCTTTAAAAGCTCTACAGCATTAAAAATTCGGGGTTTCATAATTTTTTGCACATCTACATCTACTACAGATGACATACATGTAAAGATCATCCTTATCGGTCCGGCAGTTCGTCAGAAATAGTGCTTCCAAGATTTTGCTTGTAGCTGTATAATATAGATGTTATTTTTAAATACTTAATTTAAAAAAAAATCGAAGCCGGAAGAATGCAGGAAAAGAGTTAAACCTCATACCTTGGACTTTGAACCTTGAACCCTGAGCGATGCACCGTTCCTCAACTCTTCAAATGAGGAGCCCTTCACGAGCTTTTCCATTGTTTTATTGTTTATTCGAGTCACTCAGGTAGAATCCCACACCTCGACTTTTCTAGCGGAAACGACATATATCTCACGCTATTAACACTGGACTTAAGTGACTTGAGCTTTAAAAGCTCTACAGCATTAAAAATTCGGGGTTTCATAATTTTTTGCACATCTACATCTACTACAGATGACATACATGTAAAGATCATCCTTATCGGTCCGGCAGTTCGTCAGAAATAGTGCTTCCAAGATTTTGCTTGTAGCTGTATAATATAGATTGACCTCTCCTCTCAGGGGATTTTTAGATTTTGAAATTTGGATAATTTGGCCGCTTACAGCATCGAATTGAAAATCGCCCCAAAAAGGCCCGAAAATGCCCTATAACTCCAAAAAATAGGGGTTTAGGGAAAAAAAGCAAAGAATAAAATGTCGTTATTTTTTACCGTAGATTCTGAATCCAAAGTCAAAACATACCCTTCCTATTTGAAAATTGCGAGAAACGGGGGGGCTCCCCCCCAACCCCCCCCCCCAAGGGACCATTTCGCGGGGCTGAAAATATTTTCATTCGATTCTTTGGGGTCTATTTGCCCATGAAAGTTTTGGTCCCGAAGCTCAATTCTCCGCCGTTTTCGAGAAAAAGATAGTGGACGGGTGGTCTGGATCACCCTGTATAGGTACATTGAACCATTGGTAGTGTTTTCGGAATTATCACGAATTAGTATATTACCTTTGAGTTCCCGTTTTGCTGATCCAATATTCATGAATAATTCTGTTTTGCAGGTACAACAAAAGGAAGCAGTTGTTGGTATCAAGCAATGTCCACCCTCAAACTATCGATGTGGTTAAGACAAGAGCCAAATCATTCGGTCTAGATGTTACTGTTGCAGACGTTGCCTCAGTCAGTCTCGATAGCAAACAATATTCTGGTGTACTGTTGCAATATCCTGATACCAATGGCGATCTAACAGATTATTCCGATTTTGTTAAAATTGCTCATTCCAATGAGGTAAAAATTTTTCTTCGCATGCTTTTTCATTCAATGTAAGATGTGACAAGTGTTTGTATCATCCCAAGAAAATGTATTCCTTAAAGACACCTAAGATTGAAGAAATTGTAGTTCCCGAATAGAAGTTATTAGAAAAACCATCAAGCATTTTGGGACGAAAGACGTACCTCTTTAAACATCGGGAAGCATAGTCGCCCCTCGATGATTCGGACCCCTTTAATTCTAAAACCTCGATAATTCGCAGTAAAGGGCCTGTTCCGTGAAAAACTCTCTAATTCGAAAAAATCAATGTATTTTGATCTCCTTCGGTAATTTGAAAGGGGTGAATGCAAAATCGACAAAAATCCCCCCCCCCCCCCCCCCATGGATTATGACCAATTTTCAGTATGTCATTCTTCATTAGGTATAGGATACGCCTTTCCCTAAAATTTCAAGGCACTTTCCGCGTAGCAGCGTTGCCAAGTTGAAGACCGTTGAGCTCCATATCTTTTGAACGAAAAGAGATATTGAGGCGCGGTTTACGCTAAAATTTTCCAAAAATTGCGTTCTTTTGAAATATGTATTCAATTCGATCGTTTAGTAATTTAAGATTGCAATGATGCCATTTTTCATACTTTCTTAAGGGTCAATTTTTTTTCAACCCTAGCACATCGTTAAATGCCGGATTCTCGATTCAAATGAAAATCTGTTCATTTAATTTTTCGTACTTGTCCATTTCTTTCGATATATTATACCTCCCAGGAAAACGATTGGTAGCGGAGATATGAGCAATTTAAGTTCTCGCTCCGTGCGCGCCGACTGGAATCCGGGCGCCGCGCCGCTTGCCGCTCGGAGTCGTTTGCACACTCCCTCCCATTAGCTTCACGATGTCATTCTAATGTATTTTTTTGCGTACTTTCCATTTCTGTCCTTTAAAAAGGCCTCCGATGAATTTTTAGGGGCCTCGTGGTGCATTGTTGCCATTTATGGCTCGTGCTTAGGGTTTTTTCCAATTTTACTCACAATTCTACAATAAAACTTAATTTAAACTGAAAACTGTCGTTGAGGGAAAGAACGTAAAAAAAATAAGAAATCGTGTATGACTTTGTCCTTCGTTGCCAAATTTCTGGAAAAATCTACCAAAGAGCTAAATATTGGAAAAATTGGATGAATCGCCACGCCATGGTTAAAGAAAGTGGGGCACAACTTTCATAATGACGTACGTAACAGATCTCATCCATACAACATATTTAAAAAGCATAGTTGTAATTGGATTCCCACGATGTGAAAATTGTCCGACATGTCACCCTCTGCGGCCCAAGTAGCATTTTTCAACGGAAAAATCGCGATATTTCGCAATTAAATTGCGATTTTTTTGCGATTTTATGGGCGATAAAATCGCTAGGATCATCAACATCTGAGCGATCATCCTCGATCTTTTCGCGATTTTATTACGATTTTATCGGCCCGAAAAAATTGCGATTTTATCGGCCCGAATAAATTGCGATTTTATCGCGATAAGATCAAGGACAATCGCTCAGATATTGATGATCCTAGCGATTTTATCACCGATAAAATCGCCAAAAAAAGGGGTTTACCCTGTTAGCCGATTGCCTTCAGGTTTAGCCGTCAGGTCCTTTGACGAAGACGAGCGTAAAATCCCCGGAGCCTCCGCGGGGATTCGAAGCCCAGTCGCAGCGGTGGTAGGCCAGCATATTGCCACCAGGCTATGGCCGCTATATGACTAACGAGTGCGAATTGAAGCCTCTTCTACATGAATCGGCGCTTCGCAACCGTACAACTTTTGTCATTGCGTTGACTGACACCGAGTTTTCATTATAATTTTTTTTTTATTTTCCCTCCTCTGTATTTTATTTCATGCCTTGAAATACGGTTGGTAAAATAAGGTTCTATTGGTAATCTCATAATTCTGTCTCGGTAAAATTACCAATAATAGTGAGATAGCAAAGTTACCGATGGACCTTGGTAAAAACGCCAACATTTTTTACCGACTGTGGTAGAATAACCGAGATAAAATGGTAAAGTTACGGGAAATTGATTAGGTACCAATAAAAGTGGTACCTACATATTCCTACCTGAAAAAACCAGTAAAAATACCGGTTTTTAGGTAAGCTTACCAGTCTCTCACGGTAACATTACCCATAATTGGTAAAAAAAGTGAGATGAGGTGAGGTTGGGTAACTGGGCAGGAGTTCGGAGAAAAATGTCAAAATTTCAACTTCATGATTTTTTTCCCATCATTATATTGACAGTGGAGGCTACTTTTAAATTTTTTTTAGTAAGTACAACACCTTGTCTAAATGTAGGAAGAGTCAAAAGTCGAATTTCATCTTTCAATTTTTTCCCACAAATTTTCAAAAATTTCCCGTTTTTTTCACCCAGTTACCCAACGTCGTGGGGTAACTGGACTACCCCCCCTTAATTTTTGAGGGGAGCATTATTTTTAATTCTCATTGGCCAGAAATTGATGTCCTGCTCATGAAGGTTTAAGAAAATGTCATTTGAATGTATATAAACATGTTTAAGTGGTTAAGAATGATGTCGTAACAGTTAGCGGCAAAAAAACCCTCAAATCTGAGAATTGAATAACGGTAAAAAAAAATCGTTTCCTCGTAGATAAATGCTTAGAACTTTCTGTATTATACTACTTATAAAGTAGTATTGTATACCAGGACACTGTTTGGCCACTTTTAGTGAGATTAAGCATGATACATTTTTAAAAAATGAAAAAAAATTAAGCCGCAAGGCTGATCTGGGATAGAGTCAGGCGCCAAAAAGTTCCCTTAATTTTTAAGGGGGGCATTATTTGTAATTCTCATTGGCCAGAAAAGAATGTCCTTCTCATGAGGGTTTCAGAGAATTTCATTTGAATTTATATAACCATGTTTAAGTCGTTAAAAGTGATGTCATAACAGTTAGCGGCAAAAATGTAATTAAGTAATGCTTAAGTTATGCTATAATTGACTTAAGTTAGAAGTTTAGTGTGCTGGGAACCCTGATTATTGGTCTTTGGCACTTAAAAGTCCACAATAGTCAATTAGTTTTGACATTTTCAGAAGTGAACAAACACCGAAGCACAGCAACCTTGCAATGGGTAACTGGGCAGGTGCCACCACTGCCACCTGCCCAGTTACCTTGGAGTGGGTGCCCAGTTACCCCACAAAGGGAAAATTTTCAAGGTAACTGGGCATCAACCCTTTGCAGCCAGTATTTTCATCCAATTACGTTGTAATTACTCACGCATTACACAAATACGTCATACATGAAGAAGAATTGTCAAAGTTGAATAAAATACTTGCTGGGAGTGAGATATGAGGCTCTTTTCGGGACCACCTCCGGCGTTGTTTTGAAAAAAAAGCTGTCCAATTTTCGGCACTTCACCATTCACCATAAAATTTTTTTTTGAAGTTATGTTTACATGTTCTAGATGGTTTACGTCATAATGAAGGTATGCCAACAGTGAAAACAATTTTTGCACTAATCTGGTAGAAATACAGAGGGTACTGCCCAGTTACCCCACCGCCCAGTTACCCAACCTCACCTTGGTAAAGTTACCAACGAACCTGAGTAAAAACGCCGAGAATTTTTTCTCAGTGTGGGCGTACCTCCCACCATCCAAACCCTACGCCCAACCTCGTATCGAATCGTTCTTACACCTCCGCTAAAGAACATGTTTCATAAGCGTCATTCATGCGTTATTGGGCGTTGATGAGAAATTACAATTTTATCTCTACAAAAGCTCGTTCGATGAAATCGAAATTTAATTGCAATGAAATCGCAATTTAGGTATCGAGATAAATCGCCGTCGATAAAATCGCGATTTTATTGCAATTTAATGCGATGAAATCGCAATTTATCGCGATTTTTTATCCGATAATATTGCAATAAATCGACGTCGATAAAATTGCGATACATTCTTAAATCGCAATTTATCGTGATCACTGCTACTTGGAGGCCTTTCCTTATGTGTAAGGTATATCTTTTTAATGTTTTCCGACCTTTCGCCATCCTCCGTAGGGGTGTATCATTTGTATTTTTGCTGTACTTTTCATTTATGACCGTATAAATTGCTTCTGATGAATGGTAAAAATGTTCCATCTGAATTTGCATGGAAATCAATTGGTTTCCATGAAAGTCGCATGTAATAAGTCAAATCATTCCCATGCAACCTGCATGGAAATGATCTGATTTCCATGCAGCACAGAACTCAGGTGATTACCACGCGGCATAGAAATGAGTTGGCTTCCATGAAAGTCGCGTGGAGGTCAAATTATTTCCATGCAAGTTGCATGGAAATTATGTGTCATCCTCCGTAGGGGTGTATCATTTGTATTTTTGCTGTACTTTTCATTTATGACCGTATAAATTGCTTCTGATGAATGGTAAAAATGTTCCATCTGAATTTGCATGGAAATCAATTGGTTTCCATGAAAGTTGCATGTAAAATCAATCTAGTGTTGCAAATCAAATCATTCCCATGCAACTTGCATGGAAATGACCTGATTTCCATGCATCGCAGAACTCAGGCGATTTTCACGCGGCATAGGGAAACGTAATCGTTTCCATGCAGTCTGGATGGAAATCTATGATTTCAATTCAACATGCATGGACATTTTTCTTTTGCCATGCAATGAGCATAGAATCGTTACCACCATTATTTGAGCAGCTTGTTAACGAAATCATTGTAATTAATGAATCGTGGAAAAAACAGAAACATCAATATTCGACATGATGGATATTCTTTCCACTAATATGAAAGAGCTCGAAACAGTCTTTGTTCATAGAATCAGACTTTTCAATCCCTCATGCGGGAATGAAAACATATTTCCTTGTGAGCTCGACGTAGAGTACTCTATGCGTAGAACTCGCAACACTTCCATGCAGCTCACATGGAAGCCAGACCTTTCCATCCTGTCTTCATGAAGTTGGCATTCCTCTCAGTTTGGCAGGGACATGGAATAATTGCAGATTTTTACCTAGGTACATGAGTTTCGCGGAAT